TGGGCGTGGCTTGGTGGGTGTGGCAGGGGAAAGATACTGCAACATCCCCCTCCCCGTCCCACTAACCTGCTTTCCAGCCCCGTTCTCCTGTGTAGGGCAACCAAAGGCGACCCAGCTGATCAGCCGGGACTCAATGGGAGGCAGAGAAGAGATGGGATTGGCGGGGCCAGTCAGAGGTGGGATTGGCCGGTTCTCCGAACGACTCAAAATTTCTGCTACCGGTTCTCCAGAACCAGTCAGAACCGGCTGAAAGACCACCTCTGGAAAACAGCCAAAGCTGGTTGAGGAACTCTTGGGAGTTGAAGTCCACAAGTCTTAAAAGTGGCCAAGGTTGGAGACCCCTGGGTTAAACTACACCCATAACTTATAACCAAGCGTTATTAATTTGAGGTTCCATTCGCCTAATAAGCGACTCCGTCTCTGTCCTCAAACTTTCTCCAGTCCATCCTTACAAAGGACTTCCGGTCACCTCGCCCAGAAACCCGCCTTCAAAAGCTGAGGACATGGGGGAAAAACACTGGAGATGAATCCATCGATATTTGCTGTTCTGAACAAGCTGTTAGCATTTCTGCAGGGCTTAAATCTTTATTTATTTTTTAAAATTTTATTTTGCTGGAGCTTGTTTGGATGGTGGTTCTGCCTGCTGGAACTCAAGCCTGGAGTCCAGATCTGGCAGTTTGTTTACGGAGGGCTTAGAGAAGGTTTTCTTAAGCTGGCGAAAAACTCCACGTTGGTAGGTGAGGAAGAAATGCACTTGCAGGTGGCTAAGGATGATTTTTTGCTTGTTTGCAGGAAATGACACTACGCACAAATTCACTTGTGCGCTAGAGGCGGACGAGAAGTCACGTGTCTTCCAGATTCAGAATAACAGAGCTGGAAGGGACCTTAGAGGTCTTCTAGTCTCCACCCCCTGCTCGAGCAGGAGATCCTATACCATTCCAGACAAGTGGCTGTCCAGTCTCTTCTTAAAAACCTCCAGTGATGGAGAAGGAAGGAAAGCAGTATAACCGAATAACAGAGTTGGAAGGGACCTGGGAGGTTGTGATGACCCAGGGTGGGATACAAAAGCAACAAAGTCACAAAAACAGATGAAGTCCTTTTAATTCCTTCAACTTGGCTTCAAAGGTCCAATTATCATTGACTGGAGGAAAAACTCCCCCCACAAACAGTTGTGCAAAAGAAAGAACTTCTGTTCAAACTCAAAATACATATAAATTATAAATAGAAAACAACAACACAAACCACACTGAAGCAATTGAGACAAGGCAAGATAAGGGCTTGAAGACGTCCACAGATATCAAAATACACACACTGGGAAGGATGCCAAAACTCAGATAAGAACGGAAAGACTAGAATTATTTCACACTTTGCTTCCAGCACTGGGCCATGCGCAGTTTGTCCTTTTAAACAGTCCTCACAGCTGCAGCCCATGAAGGGGATCAGGACCCTTTCCTCCCCCGTAAGACCACGCCATTCATGTTCCTCCCTTATCTGCCCTAGGATGCAGAGGGGATGGGCCTGGGTCTTGCTCTGACTGCCCAGCTGGCCTGTGCCCTTCCCCAGTTTCCTCCACAACCTCCGGAGCCACACCTCCACTCTGTCCGCTGTTCCTCCTCTCCCTCAAAGTCAGATTTGAACAGGGACATGACAGAGGTCTTCTAGTCCAGCCGCCTGCTCAAGCAGACTGTTCCTTGGCAAATGGCTGTCCAGTCTCTTCTTAAAAACTTCCAGTAATGGAGCACTGAAAGACGTTGCCCCCCTCATATTTAGTTCCTCGGTGGTGGATTGCTAGGTGGTTAACGCACTTGGCTGTGGCCTGCCACACTTCATAAATATTGCCCACTGTTTAAATTGGACGCCTCTCGACAAAATCCTCCATGAAGCTTTTCGAAGCATCTTGAGCTTGTCTTCTTGACGGAATCAGCGCCATCCTTAAAGCCCCTGGAAAAAGCTGCTGGCAAAGAGGAGGGGTGTGTGTGTGCTTTGATCCTGGACGGGAACTGTTGGGGAGCTGGGGTGTCTTGGCAAGCGGTTAAGCCTGCTTTTGACCAGCGCATGGTCACATTTCGAATGGGAAACCCACCAAATCAGCTGGTGCCCATCTTGGCAGCGACGGAGGGGGCCTGCGTGCCAAGCGCATTGGCGGAACCGTTCGAGCAGCTGCGGCAGACAATTATCTGTCTATTTTCAGAAGATGCAGAGACCCAACCATTCGCAGTCCAGAGCGAGAGCCAAAAAGGGAGGAAACGGGGGGAGGGAATTCTGGATCTTAGCAGCAATTTCTTAATCTAATAATAGTTTGGGGCTTCGGGAAGATGTTGATTCACACACACACACACACACACCCCTTGTATAAGCCAGTTGGGTCACTTTAAGTCACTTGAAAATCGGCTCCCCGAGCTGTGGTGATTTTCAGCTTCTCCCCACAGCCCCCTCCTCACCCTCTTCTGCTCACCACTGATTGCCTGGTAGGTCCCAAAAGCCATTGGGGGGAGGGGGAGGGGGGAGAAGCGAGGAAGGGGTCCCAGAATTTAGCCCAAGCTTTTGGGGTGAACCTGATGCCCAATCTCTCTTAGGCAAAGCATTTTTTACAGCAAGAAGACTTGCAAAGAGTTTTTTTTCTGCAGCCAGAAAAGTTGCAAAGAATTTTTGTTTGCAGCCACAAAAGTTGCAAAGAATTTGTTTGCAGCCACAAAAGTTGCAAAGAATTTTTTTTTT